TGGGTTTATGTTTGTGTCATACTTGGATTTGATGTTAGAAGGTGTCTAGGTTTGCAAAAAGTGAAAGGAAAGGAAGAGGAAGAAGAAAGGAAAAAGTGAAAAACAAAGAGAGCCAAAAATGGTGGTTCGATTTTGAACCCAATAGGTGCTGGGTTTTTGTGGGTTTGAAAAGTGGTGATGAAAGTGGATTCGGACGAAAAATATTGATGAATTGATTGTTTGATTTAGAAAAATAATGATAAAAGTGGACTTGGAGAAGGCAAAGAGAGAGAAAAAGAAGAACGGATGAAGAAGATTTGAGAAAGAGGCTGCTAGAGGAAGAAGATGAGGGTAAAATTGTAATTTTAGATAAATTAAATAATTATATTTTAACACATCATTTATTTATCCATGTTGTTAAGCTGACATGTCATCGAGTTTCCGTGAGTTAATAGGATTTTTAATGGAAGGACCAAATCAATAAATAGTAAGGATCAAATTAGGAATTTTTTTGAGTTAAGGGATTAAATCAAGGGTTCATACAATTGAGGGATTAAAATGAAGATTTAACCTTAAAAATAAGAGGTGTTAAATTTAAATTATATTATATATAAAAATTAAAAAATTATTATAAATTATGTTATTTTAATCAAATATTATAAAAATAATAATAAAAGATTTTAATTTATGTTTTAAAAATAAGATATTTTAAATTTTTTAAATAAAAATTTATTAAAATAATATAATTTTAAAATTTTTTTTTGAATTTTTAAAAAATAAAATGAATAGAAACTATTTCTATATAAATTACATAAGCTAAAAATAAAAAAAAAAATTATTTTTTACTGCTACGATTAAAAACTTTTCTTTTTTAAAAGACACACAAACATGTAGAAGTCCATTAATGAGGAATTGGATCAAGTGGTAAGCGGCTTGTTCCAGCTTAAATAAGATTTCGGGTTCAAGATTTTGTATATGCAGCAACTCTCGCTGGGAGACTCACCTACCATTTTCTGGTACGCGACGCAAGTCAGGTCTGAATTAATCGGAGCAAAACCCCGGATAAATTACATAAGTTAAAAATTAAAAAAAAATTACTTTTTACTGTACGATTAAAAACTTTTCTTTTTAAAAGACACACAAACATGTAGAAGTCC